TTGAATCATTTGATAGGTTGTGGTGTTGATGAGCGACCGTGGTCGCTGCTGCTACCTTCACTGCCAGGTACTAAACCTAACAAGAGCACTGGAAAGCAAAGGACTAAGCTGCTTCAGAGACAAGAACAGAGGGGCTAGAAGTGAAAGCCCTGGGAAATCACCTCGCATTGGATACACGTTTCTCATGTCTCTGGGTTCCTTTCAGGCCTGGGCTTCAGATAGCAGCAGACACCTTCAGTGTGTGTCCTCGTGGTTAGAGAGATCAAAGTGCTCCCCAGGAGCCCTCTCACTGCCACCTGACTGCACCAACAAGCATCTCCTGGCAGGCTCTTCCTGGTGGCATCGCTGTTGGGTTGAGAATACTACTGGTGACCAGAGTGCAGAGGAATTAGAGGTGCTAAGCAAGGAAAGTCCAGAGAAGCTGCCAGCCCAACAGGATAGCCAGTGCCACCCACGCTGCTGCAACAGACATTGGGAGCGACTGTTGTGTGGAGACTGCTCTCCTGGGACCATCAGTATGAATACTTTTTCCTTCTTCAAGCGCACATTTGTAATAGGCAGGACCAAGTCCCTTTCTACTTGGAATTGCCAGCTTGGACTCACTGTGGGTGCTCACCATGTGCCATTACCACGGACTCAAGAAAGGTAGAAAAAGGGATAATGGGGGCATAGACACAGCCGATGCCTCCTGGCAATGGATGCCTCCTGGGAATGATCACACACACACACACACACACACACACACACACACGCCACGTGCAGCAGGTGTCCCACAGAATGGCTGCCAGCCCTAATCACAGGAATCTGACCAGTCCTCCTTCATAGTGGCAGGAGGAAGCCAGCCTTCCTCCTCAGCCCTGGAGGAGTTCACACAGCGAATCAACAAATGCTAAATGGGAGACTTCGGGCAGCCGCTGGCACCTGCCATTAGGCATCCCAGTCTCCTTGTGGTACCCCAGGGCCCTTGAGCGTGAAGTGGGGTGCTAGAGCCATGCTCCTGTGGGCCCTTCCAGAGGGAGCAGCCTGAGATCCTGCTCACTTCGTAACAGAGCCTGGGAGTTGGGCTCCCTCCAGGCCTCCTCTTCCCAGCACCTCAGAAGTCAGTAGGGCCATCCATGCTGGTGTTCTCCTGCTCTCAGCCAGGGCTCCTCACGTTTGATGAAATCTCAGTACTGTTAATGTGTCTAGAAGGTCAGCTTGTGTATTGCAGGCAGGGGCGGAGGGAGGGATTTGAAATTACCCAGAACTCTTTGTCTTACTGCAATTTGTCTAAAGTTACTGTATTATTTTCTTTCCATCCGTCCACTTCCCCCAAGCCCACAAATCCTCAGTTTCTAAAAATTGGAAGGAAACACAAAAGAAGCCATCTTTCAGTGTTTGCAATCTACATGTCAAACCTATGGAGCCAAAGAACTAGTATTAAAAATAACGATAATGATAATCACAGTGGGCTTGTGATTGCTGTATTCTCCAGTAGAGGTCTTTAGATGCCAGGAGGCTGAACTCAGAGTAATATTTAGTAAGCACTGTCTAATTTCCAGGCAGTCTTGCTTCCTAGCTTTCTTTTGATTTTGATGCGAATATTTGCGTCTCAGGATGCTGAGGGGGTCCTGTGCTTAGAGTCCCTTTCAGCCTCACACACACTGGGAGTACACAGCTGGCCAGTAGCACTATGTGATGTCACCTGGGCACCCGAAGACCCCCATTCATTTGCCTGATTTAGGTCAATTAAACAAACTTCAGGAGGAATTAGTGTGACTTTTTCAGGGAGGCTAGAACTTTCTCCGGGATGAGGGCAAAAAAATGAAATGAGTGGAAAACTCATCTAACAGTGCAAACTCCACACTACCCTATAAAACACAGAAAAGCCATCGCAGGAAAGATTTGCAGGCAAAATAAAACCCTAACTGCTCCATCCAGTCTTCTTTTAGGTGCCTCGTCTATATTTACTTATTCCACTGGAGTGACCAGCCGGTAACATAGTAGACACATTATTTCCATTTTACAGATGAGGAAACTGAGGGACAGTAGATTCAGGAGATGCCTCAAGTCTCACCCAGTTGGTGGGCGGTGGGGCTGGGATCTGAACAGGCTGGCTGGCAGGCTCCAGCAAACCTCGGCTCTTGCCTACTCCGCTCTTATTTCGTGCAGAAACTAGGTCAGGATCAGGGAACTCCTGATCACCCCCCTGAGGAGGCGCAAAGAGAAGATAGCTGTGAGGCGCCCCACTCTGGGGCAGCGTGTGTGACCCAGGCCTTCGGGCCGGGCCGAGAAGGGAGAAAGGAAATATTTCCTTCCCTATCCTGAAGCGGGGGGCGTTCCAGGTTTCGCAGGCAGTGCTGCAGCAGCGGAAGGACCCGGCGAGGCTGCGCACCTGCGCCCAAGTCTCCACTCACCCGCCTTCCCTTGTCTCCTCACCTGCACGCGGGTACTTTTGGCCCTGGGCAAGCCTTGAGCCCAGCGCCGAGACCAAACCCGGGAAATTAAACTGTGCATGGAATGAAATGTGGCCCGTGAAAGGTGCCTGCAGCTGGCGGTTAACACCGGCAGTAAGAGGATCAACGCCCGGGCCGCTGGCTTAAAATGGGGGTGGGAGTGCGAAGTGTGCGCCCTCCCTTTTACCCATTCACGTTAGTTAATTTGGATGATAAGGGTTCGTGTTTAATCCCTTTGTGTGCGAGTGAATATCCTGACATCGACAACCCCTGAGAGGGCACTCGCGGCTGGCAGAGTAACCTGGGAGGGTGTGGATCGTGTCCAATCTGGCGTGAAACAGAAAAGAAACGTCGTGAGGAGACTGGAGCCAGGACCAAGAGGGACACCCTAGGGGTGCGAGGTGCAGACCGAGCCCTCACACCTCCCAGGCCGCAGCAGGTGGGCCGATGGCTTCCCGGAGGCCTGGCACCCCAGGCCTGGCTCTGCGCCCTGAGGCTTCCAGGTCCCACTAACGAGAGGAGAGCCGCCTACCCACCTCTGCCAAGGTCTAACGACCCCAATGGGGGCGCTGGACCCTGCCATTGCCCTGCAGAGTAGAAAGAATTTAGGCAGGGTCGGGGGCAGGCAGAAAAGAAGAAGATGTGAGAAGCGGTCTCAGCTGTTCCCAGATGGAAGAGATCAGAGAGGTGAGAGTTCGGTGGCTCTGGAAAGGGCCATAAAACAAAAATCACCTGCAGGAAAGCTCACCCCACACCCACACCCCACAAGCTCAGAGCCCCTAGAGTATGGGATCCGAGGCAGCAATTGTGAGGGAGGCCCGTCCTGGGGGAGGAGGCCTCTGGCCGCGGGGCCAGGCTGCCCGCAGAGGCGCAGGCGGCCAAGAGAGTTCCCAGCCGCCGCCGCCCCCCTCCTTCCCCTTGGGCCCGTCCAGCAAATTTCCTCCCTCGTTTCTGTTCGTGCCTTCCCTCCCTCCTCCTCCCCCCGATATTTTCGCTTTCTAAAACCATAAAAAAGAGATCAACTTCCCAAACTTCACGGGGCCCTTTTCAGTGACAAATATTGATGCTCAAAGTGTCTGCGCTCTCCCGCCCCCAAACGTTAAGAAAAGACGCCCGCGAAAGGGAGACATAAAAAGTTAACAATGCTGTGAAAATATGTTTGCAGAAAATAGACAATCGTTGGATTAAACGTATTCAAGTATGAAATAATGCCTTTTTGTGTCAAAACTTGGGCGATGGGCGGGTACAAAAGTTCCCTGTGGCAGCTACTTGCTCCCTTTGTGAGCCGTGCGCTTTGGCGTCTCCACTTGGGCGCATTACTCAGAGCCCTCTAAGCGCGATTGTTTCTCCCTTTCTAATGACATTTACCGGATCAAAACATGCTGTTAATTCGATCAGAAGGCTTCACCCTCCCTGACAAAGCCACAATAATTTCTCCTGAAGTTTGTTAAATTGACCAAAATTAGGCAAATGAATAGGGGTCTGTAGGCGCCCCCTCTCGCAGGTGACGTCGCATAATGCTCGCCTGGGCCAGCTGCATTCCCCCTTTTCTTCTCGGCCCACTCTTCTCCGTGTTGCCCCCCAATCCTCCCACCCGCCCCTTCACACACAAACACACACGCACGCCCGCCAGTCTCTCCTCCCCCACCCTCTGGCATTATTAAAATTTAACCCAATGAAACTATTCATACTTTTCAATGGACATTTTCGTATAGGATAATAGGCTACAAATTGAGCCTCTTCCCCCCGCGAAGAGGGAGCCGGAGGGGCGGGGGGAGAGAAGAAAGCCAGCGACGTGGTCAGGGGGTAGGGGGGAGCGTCGCGTGCCAAACAGCGGCGGGAGGGGCGAGGCGAGGCGAGGCGGGAGCCTCGTGTGCCAGCCGCAGCCCCACACCTGCCGGGATGTCCGGACAAATAAAGCGGTGTAAACAAAAAGGGGGGAGAAGGACGTGTCACCAAGTCGTGTGAGAAAAGCCTGGGAACAAACGGGGCGCCTCCGTCTCCAAGAGCTCTCCCTTGAACCCGGCGGAACAGCCTATTAAAGGCTTACTTAATTACTTTAATGACTCTGGACAGGCTTTAAAACGCACTCGGCGCTGGGACGGGGGGCTTGCTGGGATTTGTAAACAGGCGATCGTGTGAGACTCAGCGGTGGGACTAAAAGAGGCGACACTGTTTTGTGAGGGTCCTCGCCCCCCGGTGCCCGCGGCCACTGCGACCCTGCGCTCCGCGCCCGCGACTGCTACAGGCGCTCGCTCGCCCGCCGGCCCGTTTACCGCCTCCTTTTCCCGCCGGGGCTGTTGCCATGCAAATGTTATTCCCGGGCCGATCACGTGTCCTTTGAAGGGCCACGTGGATTAACAAAGCTGATCTGCCCCCAGCTCGCCCCCCTCGGCTGCTAAATTTTTTTTTCTTAACTTCTTTAAAACTGATCTTGAATGCATACATCCTCTAAACGCAGCTCCCCTAATCCTATGGAATAATTCAACTCGTGAATGCACTTGGAGCCCTAGATGGCCGCTTTATAAGGCAACCCTCGGAGCTGGGAGGCTGCAGTCTACCTGGGACACTCGAGGAGGCACACGAGGCGGAAAAGTGGACGGGTGCCCCGCGCCACCGCCTCTCCCGAGGGCGCGTACTGACCAGGATGTCAGACAAGCTCAAGGAACGCAAAGTGAGTCGGCTGAGCCCAAATGGCACTTGCGCCCTGGTGGTGGAGGCGTCTGACTCACCGACCCGCCACTTGTGTGGACCGATGGCAGGGAAGTGCCTACACGGGGCTTTGAGTGTGGAGGAATCTCGAGTGGTTTGGGAAGGGGGTGGGATACAGAGAGGAGGGTGCTGAACCAGGGAGACGTCCGTGCCCAGAGGCTGGTGGCCACCTCCCCAAAGGCCTGGGTAGGGTGGCTGGAAGGGGAGCGCGCCAGTGCGGTCGTGAGAGGGCAGAGCTCAAACGGCCCGAGCGTGGCGGGCCAGGAGTCCCTTCCTAGGGCGAATCTGAGCAGTGTGCGCGGCTGGAGAGGCGGTTAGCACGCAGCTGCTATAGCCGCGCCCTTGACGACTTCCCGGGCAAAGCCATCCTAAACGTACAACCCTCTGTTCGCAGAGAACCCCCGTTTCGCATAAAGTGATAGAAAAGCGGAGGAGGGACAGGATCAACCGCTGCTTGAACGAGCTGGGCAAGACGGTGCCCATGGCCCTGGCGAAGCAGGTAACGTTGGCGGCAAGGAGCCGGGTGCCAGGCTTTGGGAGGCCTCTGTGGCCACTCTGCGGAGACGCCCGAGCCTGCAGACACAGAGGGCCTCACTTGCGGGCCCCTCTCAGGGAGCCTGAGCACAGGGCGAGCCTCAGGAGGCTCTGGCGCAGATCCGCTGCTGCGCCCGCTGGCTGGTCGTCTCCAGAGCCACAGTGCCCGTCCAGCAGGCGCCGGGCCGCTGCGAGGGGCCCTTCCTCCTTTTGCAGAGTTCCGGGAAGCTGGAGAAGGCGGAGATCCTCGAGATGACCGTTCAGTACCTGAGAGCACTGCACTCCGCTGATTTTCCCCGGGGAAGGGAAAAAGGTGGGCACGGGTTAGGGAATGGGACGCCTGGGTCAGGTGCCTGCGCCACCCAGAGACCTTGGGGCTGGGAGGGGAGTGACTGAGCGTTCCCGAGAGCTCTACTGGAGCTCCACTCTCCCGGAGGGCAGGGGTCTTGCGAAGGCGCCTCTCCCGGCCCGGCGACAGCAAGGCAGCGAGGGAGAACTGGTTTCCAGGGAGGCTGGTTCCATCGCCTCCTCCCGGGTGGGGTGGGTGGGTGGGGTCAGGCTCTCAGGGAAAGGGGGCGTTTGCGCGTTCCTTGCCAGTCTCTAAGACTGCGCAGAGGAGAGGGAGGGCCTCAAATGGGAACTTTGGCCAGAAAATGTGGTGGGAGGTGCCCTGCACCCGCTCTGGGCTCCCGTGGCAAAGGGGCGCTCAGGGTGTGTCCGTCCTGTGGGCTTTCTCGTTCCTCCAGCAGAACTTCTAGCGGAGTTTGCCAACTACTTCCACTATGGCTACCACGAGTGCATGAAGAACCTGGTGCATTACCTCACCACGGTGGAGCGGATGGAGACCAAGGACACCAAGTACGCGCGCATCCTTGCCTTCTTGCAGTCCAAGGCCCGCCTGGGCGCGGAGCCCGCCTTTCCGCCGCTGGGTTCGCTCCCGGAGCCGGATTTTTCCTACCAGCTGCACCCTGCGGGGCCGGAGTTCGCTGGCCACAGCCCGGGCGAGGCCGCTGTGTTCCCGCAGGGCTCTGGTGCTGGGCCTTTCCCCTGGCCGCCTGGCGCGGCCCGCAGCCCCGCACTGCCCTACCTGCCCAGCGCGTCAGTGCAGCTCGCGAGCCCAGCGCAGCAGCACAGCCCCTTCCTGACGCCGGTGCAGGGCCTGGACCGCCATTACCTCAACCTGATAGGCCACGCGCACCCCAACACCCTTAACCTGCACACGCCCCAGCACCCCCCGGTACTCTGACGCCCACTCCCCGCCAGATTTCTCTGCGCTTTGGGCGCTGCTTAGGAGAAATGCTGTATATATTGTACACATATTGTGTAAATATTGTACCCCAAAAAAACACTGGGCATGGGGAGGCAAAGAGCGAATGAGTCTTCTGAAGGATCTCCCCCGGTAATAAACGTTTTCTGATAAAGACCCAAAGAGAGGGATTTATTTATTATCTTCTGCTCATCCCCAACCCATCCCCTCCGCGGTGCCAAGGGCGCAAGGCTGACAGGGCTCAAGGTAACAGCCCTCAGTAATTTGGTGAGCGGCCCGCTGCGGAGTCTGAGGGAGGCGGACGTCAAACGGAGATTCAGACACATATTCTAGGCGTCGCTGAAGGGCGGGATTCGCGGCTCCCTGCACCTGCCCAGCGCGCATCTTGAGCATTAGCCTCAGAGAAACAGGGGAGGCGAAGAACACTGCCCTTGGCTCTCAAGAAAATGCAAATTGAAGGACCTGCCCCAAACTGACTTAGGCGGACTGTTGCCAGCTGCGACCCGGCGCGCTTCCTACCCGGAGGCAAGTGCCCGACGCGCGCACCGCACGCCCGCGGGTCTGGAATGCGGCGAAACCCGGGCCAAAGCCAGGGCGCGTGGCTGAGTTTACAGTCTTAAAAAACCTCTAAAAAATACCGGAACCAAGTACAGTTCTGAATTGAGGATTGGAAGCATCACTGCTGACAACTACTCAGCGCCAGAGGCTTCCAAGAAGCTGGCGTTGCCTTTTGCGCACAGAGCAGGCCAGCTTCAGAGGCGCTGGGCGTCTAGGCGAGAGATCCACACAGGCCGGGTTGGGAGACGCCCCTTCCCCACCCCGTAGGGGATTGTTCCCTACTCGCCATCCTCCACCTTTCGGCCACTGGTGCAGGATGGAGACCCTGGCCTCTCCGTTTAAATTCTCAGGCTTGGAGAGAAAAGTCCTCCTTATCCTTTCTCCAGTGTGAAGTTTTTTTTTTTTTTTTTTTTTTTTTTTTTTTTTTAATCTCTCTCCACCCCGAACGTGGTGAGGAAAGTTTGGAGTCCAGGAAAGACTTGGCTAGTGGTCTTTTAAGGGGATTGTGATTTTCAGTTCCAGGGCATCTGTGCCCTACCCACAAAATAGCGATACATCTAAAACGGCACGCTAAAATCCTGTTTCTCTAAGACTCAAAGGGCAAAACAGGGCTCCCCGTCGTTTTACGTAAATAGGTAAAATAAACAATGTATCCAACTGGCTAAATTTGCGTTTGTAGGTATTTAAATTTTTCTTTGAACTTCTGTGCCTCATTAATTTTAATGCCTTTTAAATAAATACTTCGAAATTAGGTAGCACGTTTTCCTCTTTGTTTTCAGAGGCCATTTCGCTGAACTGTGGTGATTTGTCTTCTCCCAGATCCGCTGGAAGACTATAAATTAACTTATTCTATTTTCTCTGGACAGGGTTTAAGAAAGCTCTGACCTAGACTGTTTGCTGAGGTCATGGAATGGGATGACCTGCAATTTGTAAACCATCTAACTTCATTATGCACAGACAGGAAAAAAAAAAAAAAAAAAGAAGAAGAAGAAGAAGAAGCCCTCATTACATTGCCCGTAAAGTGAAAATTACACATATATGTTTTGCCAGGAGAAAATCTTAAACTTTAGAGACGGTCTTGCTTGTGAGAGGTTCTTGAAATAACTTGTCTATAAAGTGTGAGCTCTCTCCTTTCTATGAAGTGATAGAGCTGGAGCATGGAAGTGAGAGTGAGACCAGGCGGCCCTCCTGGATAACAAATATACATTGAGCAATATGGGATAAAAACAAATTATGTAGAAATGGGGAGAAAGGATGGTGCCTATTATTGGAACACATGTCTTACACCCATTTTCATCACGCTGGATACAGAATATGAAGAAGGCCTTTCAGGGTTTTTTTCTCTGAGCATTAAGCCAGTCTGAATTCCCTTCGGCAGTGAAGCATTAAAGATATAGTGTTACCCTGGAAATATAAATTATTAATATATTCAGCATTTTTGTCACTTCTCAACTGTTAACCAAATTAGACAAAACTTTCTTTTGCTAAGTAGATTTTCTCTTTGGGATTAGCTTTGGGAACGCACAGGGCCACCACAGTAAAAACTGCGGTCATTTACATATAATTTTGCAAACTTCCACTGGTCCATGACAGTCTTTGTACCTCAAATGTTGGTATTCTTGATTTTTTTCCTTTCTCATTTAACTGTAGAGGATAAAACCCTGCTTTGGATTTACAATGACTTTAGGATAAAAGTCTCCCTCCCCTTTCTCTCTTTCCCCCTTTCTCTCTCTCTCTCTCTCCCCCTCTGTGTGTGTGTACATGTGTATGTTTTGTGTCTTTTTCTGAAACCTTCACCCAAAGTCCCAATTCTCCAGGCTTGGCTAAAAGTCAATCTTGGAATAGTTTGACTTTGCAAAAGATTAAAAATGTCACTACAAAATGGAATGGATTCAAATCTGATTGTGACGTGAATGTGTTGTTCTTGCAGTGTCTCTGACAATACATTACCTCCGGCTTCCCAGCTATAGTCCCCGCTCCTGTCTCCCTCTGTCTGAGTCTCTTATGCCCAATCCCTCCACTTTCTTTAAGTAAGTTGTATAGTAATGGTTTCCAAGAGAGGCCCAACCAAACCTAGAAATAACAAAAAACAGTGGGTTTGGGTGGAGGTAACCCATTGTGATGCTTCTGAAAGGGGCAACCTCTTTTTTCTTGGGCTTCATCCTTGAGTGGGCAAGAATAAAAATAATCATCCCCATGAAATCAAAGGTTTTCTCCAGAAGCTCGAGGAACAAAGCTGATGGCTGGTGCTTGGGGTGGGTCCCTGTGGCCCAGCAGGGCTGGAACTAGTCGCTTCCAGGCACTCCAGCCGCCCCTGCCGAAAGGGCGGTAATACAGAGCTCACTTGTTCTTCCAAGCGTTATTGTACAAAGACAGCCCCGTGTGTCAGTGAGAACCTCTCCAGTCCAAGCTGCTGGATATCAGGAAAGGAAGGTGGAGGAGCTGCCATGGGAAGTGCCTGAGCCCACAGAGGCATGGACTTCTGGGAACCTCACAGTGGGTGTCTGCAGAGAGTAACAACAAGAAATGAAAGGCCTCATGGGTGTGAGGAAGAATTCCATAAATACTTGAGGAATGGCTGAATGAACTGCTTAACAGTGCTGAGCTCCTGGAGTTCTGTATCAGGTCCTCCCTATCCTCAGTTGCCACCCTGTGTCATCAGAGACTAGCAAGTGATTGTACATCCACCCAGAAATCCATGGAGCACCACACACGCATTCTGAGGATTGTCAGAAGGAGCAACAGTCTTGCCTTTGCCTGGACATTCTACCTTGTGGTCTGGCAGCAGGAGACCATGCCTGGCCTGCTTGGGTAGGGCAGTGAACTCTCCCCACAGGTCCAGCTAAATGCAGAACACAACTGCAGAATTTGGGTTCAGAACTAGCTTGATGGAGTTCTGCTCCCTTCACATGGAAAAGCTCCAGGTTGGGCCAAGTCAGCTTCCACCCTCCTTTCTGCTTCATTTATTATTCAGAGTATAGCTTCTGGAGTCGGACAGCCTGGATTTGCATTCCAGCTCTGCTGTCTACTAGCTGTGTGACTTTGGACAAGTTGTTCAGCCTCTCAGAGTCTCTTTCATCATCGATAACAAAAGCTATCACAAGTGCATACTCCCTAGGGTTGCTATGAGGATTCACTGAGTTGGGACATCAAAGCACTCCTGACAGTGCCTGGCCCGTACGGAATGTTCAGTATATGTTAGCTATTATAATAAGTTATTTTTAATCTACTCTGCCTTCCAAAGAGTTAGATTTTTAGGGCCAGTTCAAGCTACAAAACAAAATGCCCAGGCAAATCATGAGAAAAGTCTTTAATCCCAGGGCTTTTTAAACCCCCAAGGCTTGCTCTGGAACAGACAATTGTCTTCATTTAGGAGAAGTCAGGATAGGGGTTTCTAACTTCATCCCACCGTTAGCCTTGGAGTCCTGCGCCCTGCTTCAAGCTATGATTGGTTGTCAGATCCCCTCTACTAAATTTGGAATGCTATCCCTTACAAGCTTTTACGTACAGAAATTTGGCCTCATGTTGTTGTATGACAGCTCTTGTACCTGCAGCCACACACTCCCTACAGTGTAATGCCTATTCATGTACAAATCTTGGCCATTGCGAATTTTTTTTGGCCCATGAGGGACACAAACTAATTCAATGTTCTTAAACATACTTTTGGTAGCACCTCAATGCTCTTCTCAGCCTCCCCTTCACTTTCCGTTTAAGTTTTCCATTCCATTTTTCCCTTTTGCCTATCGTATTTATCACCTACCGCTCCACTCCCGAGTTCACCGTCAGCCTGAGGAGTCAACCCGAGATGCGGGTTCCAGCCCTGCCGCAGCCCCCCAGCTCCCTGGACTCTGTCCCCCAGCTCCCCTCCCTTTCCTGCTTGGCCTTCAGCTCTCCTTCTCCCTGGTTTTCTGGTTCCTGAGGTCTGACTCCCCAACACCCACGGCCTGGCCAGAGGATTGATCCATGTACATGTGTGCCCGATACTTACATGTGTGTCTGCGTTGAGAGGGACTTTTATTCCCACTGCTCCTGGCTCCATGTGGAGGGATATTACTGGAGTGATATTCGCACATCTCCGCATGCCTTTCATATTCCTCAGGGATCTGATTGGAGTGTTTGGAAGCAGGACCCAGGCATGCTCCACTCAGCCCCTTTCTCTTTGGTGTCCACCTGCCCACAGAAGGCAAGCAAGCATGCCCGACTGGCTGGTTGGAAGATGTCTAGCTCTTCCTGTGCTTGTGATGGATAAGCTTAATTCTTTTTTTTTTTTTTTTTTTTTTTGAGACGGAGTCTCGCTCTGTCGCCCAGGCTGGAGTGCAGTGGCCGGATCTCAGCTCACTGCAAGCTCCGCCTCCCGGGTTCCCGCCATTCTCCTGCCTCAGCCTCCCCAGTAGCTGGGACTACAGGCGCCGCCACCTCGCCCGGCTAGTTTTTTTGTATTTTTTTAGTAGA